AGCTACTCTTGTTTTAGGAAGATAGACGCAAATCACGAAAATTTTTCACGGGAAATTGCAAGAGATGGTGTTTCGACAACTTAAAACAATTAAAATTTTAAAGTGCTACATACGCAGTTCAACTACAGAACTTATTATTGAAGATAAGTATGACAATGTTTTTAAACCACGGTCGGCGGTCGCAACCATTAAAAAGTTTGCGTTACAGCGCGGTTACTAAAAGGGTTAGAAACAAACGACTGACAGCATTGATTTCTACGTTAATAGGAATCTTTCTTTCTATTCATTTTTCAGTTTTTCTCTCCAGGGAAAAAACAAAAGACGGTAGCTTAGTTCTGGTCACGGTAATGCAGTAAGCATAAAAAACGAGGCCACTAGTACCTAAACCATTTTCGTTGGTTTATCTGCACTAATAAGAAAGTTATCCATAAAACTGGACCACACAGTAGGTACGGTACCGGTACCGGTTTCAAGATATTTACAAAGTTCTCTTCATCCATTCGGTAGCCTCTGACATCGATCTCATCGATCCCAAGAAAAATCTTGCTCCTAATAGCTGAATTTTGCTAAAAAAATTTCAAAATCGTTATAAAGTGGGCCCAATTCGACAGGGAATAAATTTTTGTGTGTAGGTATTTATATCTGCTCGTTTGGGTTAGGAAATGCGCTTTATTGCGCTTTATTTGAGAAAGCCCCATACTTGGTCAAAAATAAACATTACCAAAAAATAGCTGTTCTAAAAGAGATGACTTTTAATGAATACGCTCTCACCGTTGAGTGAAGGATCCTTCACTCAACGCTCTCACTCAATGTCATCAACTGCATTATAGTAGTGGCATGCCAAATGAGAGGATTGCATTGATTTCAAGAAAATGATCATAACACTGTGAAATACTTAATCATACCTGATGTGCATTAATTGGAAAAACCATCGCTAACGATTATATTCCATAATTCGCGCTTCTGTAAGCGCAATTATGTGCTCACGAAATAATTTTAAAGCAAACAATCACTTATGAATTATGCTGATGCATTAACGGTAGCATTGAATTTATAACAAATTCAATCAGGTAGATCATCGCGTCTCGTACACAACGTAGTTATACGTTGACTGAGCTTTGTGCTAAAATTAAACTCACGCAAACGTAACAACGAAAACAGGTTAAATTATTCATACAATTGCATTCACCTTTGCAAAGAGCGCCAACAGAAAACGTAAACATTAAACCTAAAACCACACCTACCAATGTTGATTGCGAAGGTACTTAATTTAAACAAGTTAAAAAAGTAATCGTAAACGATTTACAAAAAGCGCATTTCCACTTGCATTCATTTCCCATTTGTAAAATGCAACTTCTGTTAAAATCGTAAAATCCGGCCACAAATAAGATAGCGTTGTGCAATCCATTTCTTACGCGCTACCATTGAATTTATAATAAATTCAATGGCGCTACTTCAGTTTCAGTTTATAAGAGGAATTTCATTTCAATGCTTTCTTAAATAAGAAGGTTGACACCTGCGCATACCTAAATTTTGAAACTGGCGTTAGATTTTCCTTTATTCCAAGCACCTATGGATAAAATTTCATTTAAATGGTTCCTTAAATAAAAAAGTTGGTACTGCGCATGCGCAAAACCAAATTTTGAAACTGACGTTAAATTTGCTCTTATTCCAAGTAGTTATGTATCAAATTTCATTTAAATACCTTCATTAATAAAAAAGTTTGCAATTCGGTTTATAAATGGTCGAGATGCGAAAAGGGCACTGTGAATGTTGGTCGATTAGGCTGAATTTTTGGAATTACGTTTTATATGGCTAAAGCTATACGCATATTGAATTTCATGCAATTCGCTTCATAACTCACGGAGATTTCAAAAGGATCTTTCTTATTTTTTGGGCTACATTGCCAATGCACGAGCTCCGTTCTACAAATTTTATAAAGAATCCATCCACCAATTTTTTTCGTAATCGGTCCATTCGTTATCGAGATTTCGTGCTAAGGGACGGATAGACGGACAGACACCGCAAAATTACGAGAGCTCCCTGAGAACACCATTATGCTATTCAGAGCTGCCACTTGTAAGTAGAATAAAGACCCTTCATGTTTCAGTTAAACTTGTCTGATGGACAGTCGCCCTTGTGAATGTATTTTGCATCGTGTCCATCTCCACTTATAGCGAGGCTTAAACCATTAAAACATAGATATATAGTATATATTTTATTCACCACCACCCAGTGATACCCAAAACTTTACGTCTTATGTCATATTTAGACATAATTTACCACTATAGAAACAGCCTCCATTTTAAAGCAAAACAATAGTATTATTTGGCAATAAATACGTAGCTAGGCGTAATTGCTTTATTGTCGACATTCAAAACCTAAGATTCAATTCCCTAACAATATGGGGGCGTAGTGATAGTTAAAGAACGATGCTCGGAACGATCGTACAGTTCTAACAAAGTATAAACGGGCCCAACAACTGGTTTCTATAATAAGTTGTATACAACCACGTGCGCAAAATAAACGCGAATTCGATTTTAATGAATCCAGAGGTTGCCCTTTTCACAAACTACATAGTAACTTTTGATATTTACCGACGCCCAAGAATGTTTCGGAAAGATAAAAGTTTCCGAGATAATCGCAAATCAAGACCGCTTTTTGGAATTAGTTCTCTTAAAAGCTTATTTCACCTTATTCGCTCTCCCTTCGACGAATAAATCATTCGACGATTTTTCCATGGGAGCGACCAATAAAACAAGTCGCTGCAGTACGTGCTTAAAGGAAAAGTGAGTCGCTTCGGACCCCGAAGTTTAAGATAATGAGTACGTGAGGCGTGAGCCGAATGTGCTACGCAGCCCTTAATTTGAATATTACTCGGGATACCTCCGTCTTAAAATTAATTTCTCCTCATCTTGAATTTGTTGCGAATGAAGGGCGTTATTTCTCACTCTTGCTTACAACAAAAACAGATTTTTCAAGGAGGGGTTTCGTGCCCGATATTCTTTAAATTAAATTTGGAAGGATGCGCTGTCCCGAACAAATTGCGTTCTCGTCCAAGCATCAATTTAGAACATACTCAATGTACGTCTTAAAACGAACTTCGGACAAGCAAGGAGAGGCAAAGGCGAAGTGCGGTTAATTTGCCTAATTAGTAATTGTTAATTTCGACATGAGAAACCAACCTGAAATGGTGCAGTGAAATTGACTGTGGGAAAAATTATAATTGGAAAAGCTTTTAATGTTCTGCAAACGTGTTAAATTTACATATCCCAACGATCTGACTCCTGACTATATATCAGTATATCACTACATGGAAATTATTCTGGTTCTAGACCTAGTCGATTGTATTCTTTGATCAGCAAGGTTTTGTACTCAGAAAATGGTTTTTTTGTTCGATTTTATTATTTAGTGATGGGCTTTCTGCTTTCTGTTCATAATCGCCTCATACTTAAAACTTCCGACTTGTCAGCGAAACTCACTTCTCGTCCTTGTGATAATTTTTTGTTGAACTTGTAGGAGGTGTTCGACAATGTATATGTTTATAAACTATATTAAATAAACATTTATTATAGTATTCTTTTTACTTACCTATATTAATTACAATTTGAAAAAGAATGTTTGAATAAAGAAGTTGACGCAAAGGTTTTTACTGTTTTTGTATTAAATATGATCTGCTTGTATGTGTTTTATACGAGGATCGAGGACGATACCATACAAGCCCTAGTAGCATTAAGTGATCAGTAAACAAATAATGAAGTCAATGATCGAGATTCGTACTTCGTTCCTCTCCCTCTGCACACAGGAGGCGAAACAGACTTCCCTCCACATCTGAAAATTATCATAGGGGAACATCCTATCTATCTCGGTATCCATTCTCTTAATTGGTAACTCGAAATGGGGTGAAATATTAACCGAAGTTGAAAAATTTTTATTTACAAGACCTTCCCCATAAAACAAAAGTTATAGGACTTCGAGTGAATCGGGAACAGGAAAAGCTGTGGTCTCAATATAGTAGAAATCAACATACATATACAGGGTGTTTTTTTAAGATACGACAATGTAAAGGCGTTGAGTTATTTAAAATGGGCCATAGGGAAATTTACATTGCGCCAATTGTTCTCAAATCTTGGTCTTGCGTTTAGTTATTTCAGAGACAGTCCTCAATCTGATCCTTCAAACTGCATCAACGAAGCAGCAACATGTATTTCGCCGCTCGAGGTGTTCATGTAGTACAATTTGTACAAGAGTGGGCACAGTAGCTGAGTGGTATGCGAGCGAGTGCGAGCTATTCAGTGCCGAGTATCGGGTATTGTTTGGTTGCCGGTGGAAAACAATTCGAGTACCGATTGCAATTTTATAAGTTTATATCTCATTTGAATAAAATATTTCCTTCCCTAGGTCATGTATCGATTTCGGACTTTCGCCCTCATTAATCAAACTGCAAATACATGAAAAAAAGTATCACTTTCAAAACTAGTTGTACAAATAACTATTTAAATTAGAAAAATTTCAATACAATTACATTTTGTAAATGTTTACATTATTTCTAGTAGGTAATAGTTATTACTAAAAACGTTTTCAAAATTATTATATCTCACATTATTCCCTCTTTTATATCATTTTAACATTAATTTTTTATTAAATCTGCAAAAACAACACTGGAGCGACAATTCGCCCCACCTGGTACTAGGTGTTTTAAAATTGACCTGGTATTAGGAAGGTTAACATTTTCGAGAGGATGCTTATAATTCAGAGGGCTGCTAGAAGGGGGTAATATTTTCATATAGTATAAATTGTAAAAATTGTTACAAATTGTAAAATGAAGTTTTTTTCACCCATTATAAACTCTTAAAAGAGGAAGAATTCCCAAGGACTGACAAAAACATTAAAGTTTTATAATTTAAATTTCTAATGTTCTTTTGTGTTTTCCTAACTAAATGACAACAAATGATGGGTAAGTGAAGTGCAGGACAGACAGTAAAAATATATGTACTTACCAACCATCTTGATATAAAGGGCGCTTTGATCCGTAGTATCGATGGTTACTCCCTCTACGTTCTGAAACAAAAAAAGAAATTAAATACATTTATTTCGTATTTCCCTCGTCTTATTATTGCCCGTAAATGAGCAAAACCGAAAATGTAAAGCAATTTCAGAAATCAAGATTGCCTACATTTTTTCGCTTTCAAAGTCAACCTTTTTTTAATCCAAAAGTGTTCGATCGGTAGAAAATATTCTTTTTTTAAATTACTTTTCGTTAATATTACGATCACGAACGCGTATACAGAAGCGGGTAGTTTTTCTCTCAATTCTTAAATTTTGTGTGACGCGTATGTTGGGGGTATAAAAAATGTCATCTTAAACACTCTTGGAACCACGTAATATTTTGTTGTAATGAGAAAAGTAATGGAAAAATTAGAAAGTTTCTATGACAGAACAGAAGAAGTTGGACGAATTTTTCTTTAATTGTGAAGGTGTGCCCTCGGGCGCGCCAATTCGGTTAATAATATGATCATTCGTTTGGAATCCACTTAATCCGAAATACGACCGCTTCACTAAAAGAGGTAAGTGGGATGACTTTGACTTATAGATTCCAATTTGTATTGATCCAGACATACATTACGCTCGAGCCCACCAAATTGGAAACTGGCCAAAGCGATTGAGTAAGAAGATGCGCAGCTAATGTTCACAATAAATTCATCGTCGCCTCAATTCAGCGACTACCATTGAAATTACCATACGGCCGTTTCCTCAGCCTCCTCGTACACGAAATACTCGGCTTTATTGTCAACTACAACAGCTATTCTCATATTGCTTTCAGGTGAAAATTTTCAACACAGGCGTCAACGATTACCTTCCCTAGCCTATTTGTATTTAAAGTGCTCATTATTGCATTATTAAAAAGTGTAGACCTTTAGACTGAAAACACATTCCCAAATTTTTGAGCAAAAGATCTTAAAACAATACGATTTGCAGAAAATTGACCCATCACCTCAATTTCGCACACTTCATCCAAAATTCTCAGCTGTCTTAACCTTTTTATTACACACACACACACCCTCTCTGATGTCGTGTCTTGAAAATTACGAATCAACTTCATTACCTACATAATATATACCTAATAATATCTGATATTTTTTAAAAGATTATTTCAGTTCTTTCAAGTGAGTTGTATCTCAGTTTTTAAATCATTATACTTACGTTGTAACTACATATACGTGATTTTAAACTTGTAACGAGTAAAAATTCTTGATCTCCATAATTAAAGTTAAAAAAGGGAGAATAATAAATTTGTCTTAAATAATAAAGTTGTCTTTTCGTAAGCAAAAATTTATCGAATTCGTTATTCAGATGGCACTGCAAGGTTAAATTTGAATATTTAAAAATTTTTGAGAGGCCTTGACTGATAACGCGTGTAGGAGAAAAGAATGGCAAAAATAGCAGGTTGATAGAGAGACTCTAAAGTCAAGAGACATTTTTGAAACCAATTTTTATATTAATTATTGTGTAATTGGCTCGTTTAAAACGGTCATTAAGTTTAAACCCTTATTTAATAAGGTAAGATTAATTTTTTGATTCCATTCTCTCACACATCCATTTCAGGGTTTTTATCGTACGGCGTTATTTTGATCATAAAACTAATTTATGGTCACATTATTGGGCATCTATCGATGTAACTAGCTTGTGGAGCTTGCAGAATAATCAATCGGTCTATTGCATTGGAATCTGGATGCATATCGGCTACCGTAGAATTTGAGGGATTAACCAGTCAACCGTACGCAGCATACTATCCAGCAGTAGGAGTTTGTCTTGCTTCCTTCAGGTTGATAATCCATCCACGGTCATTTGGGCGATCGCGACCAAGATAAGATTCAAAATAACCATCTATTACCATTGTATGAATGTGTGCGTGAATGGTCATTGCATGTGTGTGATGCGAATGTTGAGTGATAAGAATTGTGCACGTTTCCATTTATCAGATTTAAAAAAAAGTTGTTTAGATTAAGTCCACTATAGTTATACAGGGTGGTGACTTGCGTAACGCATCATAGGGATTTCAATGTAAAATTTATAACATGCGATTATTGGCTCCCCAAATTATTTTATAGCAAAAATGTATTCAAGTTTTTTGTAGAAAACATTTTTTTACGCCAATCAACCATATTAGTTTTCAATCTTTTTCATATGAAGACGGAAAATTAGAAAAATAAAACCCGCATCTTTTTCAATAATTTCAATAATGTAGGAGTTAATTAATTAATACCTACCTATTTAATTTTTTTAATTGATTTGTGACTTGCAATGCTACAGATAAAACCCCGAATGACTATTTATTTTAAGTAGTCGTGTTAATATACAAAAAGAACGTTTTAGGTATTCTTAATATATAAATTATAAATTGTAACAATTTATACTTATTCAACTAAAAAAAACTACTCACCTTCTTCTAAATCGTAGGTATAGTGGTTGAATTGAAAAAGAAATACGTACCTATACGATATATTATATTATATATTTACAATATAATATCACATAATACTGTATTTCAAGTAGGTAGCTACCTATATCATCTACTTACGGTTGATTACCACAGTTGCCTATACAGAATTTACATTTTACAAATGTAGAGTATAAAGTAGGCCGACGCGTTGCAAACTACAACGCATTGTTTTGCGTGCTGATCTGCAAGCGCATATTGGTCAAGTAGTGCTGCCAATTCTGATCAAATTTCCATAATATTGGACCATTCTGGTGTCCATCCATTTAACCCCGAGCGCCACTTTAGTACGGGCGGCAGCGTTTATTATTAGCCGAAAGGCGCCTATTAGTAATATGATATTTTTGGGTTATATTTTAGGTTTTTTAATACATTTGAGAATATGTTTAGTTTTACGAACGGAACGTATGACAGCCACGTGCACTACTTTGTTTTAATAAATTAGAGGAAGGGATGAAAGAACAGGCAGTTGGTTTTTATGCAAATGAGCTCTAGCTACGTATTTATTGAAATCATATTTGAGTATCATCGTATTTGAGTAGTGACTAGTGAGTGAACAGTGCGTGATCAAGTATCTATGATCTTCTTCCTTTTGTAATCTAGTTCCATGTTTATGTCTATAATTAAGTTGGTCATGTCTTGTATCATTCGACATTTTGATACAAGACATGACCAACTTAATTATATCTATGATCTTTTGGAAATTAGATGAGTGAATCAAACAGAGCAATTCGGTTTTACATATTTATAGCATGTTTAGTTAGCGTTCATTATGAAATTGACATATACGAATACGGTACCTCCTATCGAAGTTTATACATAAGCCAGGTAGAATGATTAGTTTGAGTAATCTATTCCATGATGTTTGTTGTTGATTACTGTGAGGGGCGTTGCATCCCCTAAATAGTATTTTGTTGTTGGAACTGTGCACGGTTCCAGGGCTGCTAGTTGAATCCCCTACGACTTTATACACTTCAAACGGAGTGATAATGGGTTTTAGGTTGCGTCATAAACGATCGAGTTTAATCTCCTATAATACCATTGCACACTATGCTACTTGTTGTACCACTTTTGGTAGGTGGTGGAGGTGGGCTGCGTCTTTGAACCCAGAACTTACCACACACGGTTAGTAGAGTGATGGTCTGACCTGGTCTTTGACGATTACGTTTAATCCCCCTACACCATTGCACAGCCAAAAGGGAATAGACAACTCTAATATAATATCGAAACTTTATAACTTTCGTATGATATTATTGATATTATATTATGGAAGTTTTGTATAGAAAATAGCAATAGACAATCAGCATTATTTTGTAGTCATCCATTCTGGGTGAACCATTTCTTAATTGCAGGTACGAGCTCTCGCTGTCAATTTCCTGGTCAAGTTTAGTTTTGATTTTGCTTCCTATTTGTAAGTACTTACTTTATCTTTGTTTTGTCACTAGTTTATTATTACCAAATTACCCTAACAGATTATTTTTATTCTTCATCGATTTAATTATTCAAAATGATTGTGACTTAATTACTTAAGTAATGTGCCACACTCGGTGCCACATAATCCAGAGTGATTACTAACGCAACTATTTGGAAGTAGGGCGTCCAAATAAAAACAATGAAACCATGAATACTTGTAACAGTTCTAACATGCTTATGCAGCTTTTTCAACGAGAAACAGACTTCAATTACAAATCCAATAAACATGTTTACAAATTTGACATCTAATCTAAATTGGTTTGTTTAAAATTAGTTGGAATCGACTTCAGGATCCCAATTTTGCTTATGTCGTCTGAAAATATAGGGGTGAAGTGTTTTCACTCCTGATAATTTTTAAATATTGCCTTGCATCACCAGAATTTTATTGAAGGTCGTTCATGTTTATGTTTTTAATAGTGTGAGCAATAAAAGCATTAATATGGAAATGCTCGAAGGCTTAAACTGCGTTAATTGCTCATTTAAACAACAACGATCTTTTTAGAATTAAACGCTCGCTATTGATGGTTCCCTCACGTCTCCCATAACGATTACATTTTGTATTTGCAACTAATGCTACTTCTATTCCATATAGATTTTATTCACATTAAAAGCCGCTTATTGTATTTCAAATTGGCTGTAAAATGTTTTATAGCGTCATTTCATACTTCGCACGTTATTGTAGTTTCATTACGGCCTGAAGCGAATGAAAAATTCCGATTTCGTATCTAGGACAACGATAATAATAAACGTAATAAGGATATACCTACAATGGAATTGTTAACGTTGCTTCCTGCGATTACACCGCGATTTGTTTATTAAATATGAAAAGGTTTTTCTTCTCCAATTAAGAAATATGGCAAAAACAGGTGCAAGGCACCTAATAATCTTTGCAGCTAACGGAATTATACAATGTTGTGCGAACATATTAATATTTGTGTTTGACAAATCGCCATACTTTGCCAAAAAATATTAATAAAATTAAAGTAACTGCGGTAAAATATCTAAACCGTTTTTTTGCTAAGCTCTTGCTTCATAATATTTACGACCGACGTGCAGGCTTAATTTTATAATAAATAAATAACTAAAA